TTTTATATTTGCCAAAAATATAACTTTTTTATTTTAAAAACAAACAAGCAAGCCCTGTCCAGATTTAAAAAGTAGCGCAAAAGTAACGTAACGCATTACTTTCCATAAAAAGTAACTAAGTACCGTAATTAGTTACTTTTGTTATGGAGTAACGCAATATTGTAATGCATTACTGTTAAAAGTAACTTTCCCCAACTCTGATTATTTTTAAAGTACGGTCGTATATAAGAGAACATGGACCTTTCTCTGTGTTTGTTAAAGTTAGTATGTGAAAGACAGTAGTTTGTGCTAATAATATAATAGTGATTTTGATTTTGAAATATTAGATGTGATTATTGCTTATGAATGTCACTATTTATTACATTTTTGAACATTTATGTTCCAAATGCTATATAGTACTAGACATTAACAGTCAAATAATGTAACGTGATGATGAAATTAGCAAAACAGCATAACAAAGGAATATGTACTATGCATTTAGTACTATAGTGATGATGCCATAAAAATAAATACAAATTTAAAAACTAGTCCAAAATGCTTTCTGGTGGGTCTCAGGGGGTAAAATATATTATAAAAATGTTTTTTCATAAAGTTTGAAACAACCATTTTTAAAAAAAAAAAGTTTTATTGGTTATGTGAAAGTTAAAGAAAAGAGGGAACATTCCATTTGATCATTTTGCAAACGTTATGTAAACGTTACTTGTAAATGTTCTCCAAGTAATAAAGTTTTACAAAGATTCAGAAAAAAAAAAAAAACTTTTCATGAACAATGTATAAATAAAATTTTTGTGGTAATGTTTTGAGAAGGTTATTAAGAACCAGGCAGCTTTGAGCGAACATTCTATTAATGTTACTGGAAGAACGTTTGTTCGTAACCTTGAGAGAACCTTACCAGAACATTAGCCAAAGTTTTCAGAACGTTTTACTGTTAGCTGGGTATTTATAAGACAATATTTAGATGTATTTTTTTTGTCAAGCTGAATAAGAGAACTTAAGGCAGCTTGTATTCATCAAAATTATATCTTTTGGCTCGTGTTATGTTAAAACAACCCTGAACCTGAATAGAAGTGGTAAAGATGAGTTAATGACCTCTTCATTAAGAAGGACTGTTAACCCTTTCAGATTAGAGTTTGTTTTCGGGTTTTATTGCACAAATGTGCTTCTTTTTTTATAAATAAGAGTCTTTTGCTTCCTTTAGCAGGTTTGCATTGACATGTAGCATTTTGACATTTTCGGGATGTTTTATATAACATTTTAGGACACATTTTAGTAGAAGTATGTTTTATTCAGAGCAGAGGAGGGAGGATTTATAAACGGTGTTTAAAACTTAAATTTGGTTAAATATGTAAAATGTTCAAATATAACAATCTTTCACAGCATGAAATGTCTTCAGAATAGCACAAAATTGGTGAATTTAAAGGTGCAGTAGGAGATCTTGGAAAATGCTAACTTTAGCCTGATAGCACTGAAAGCGAACGTCCCACCCTCCCTGCAATCGCTGTCCAAAGCCACGCCCCCTGAACACATTTACGCTCGCAGACCAGAATACCAGAGACAACATTACTACAATAGGCTACATCAGCAGTTCCCAATTCCAGCCCATGTTCCGAAGTGAAGTAAACTTCAACGGATTTCCCTGGCTCAGGGAGTAGGGAGCCATGAACACTGTAGGGATCATATCGATCGGAACACAGTTCATGCACGCAGCTCACTTCTAACGAGCTGGTTATCTGAATCAGGTGTGTTAACTAAGTGAGACGTGCAAAATATGCAGAGTGGGCACAAGGACTGATTGGGAACCGCTGGGCTGCATCATGTTTCATTCACTGGTGAGAAAACTTTAAAAGTACTACAATACCAAGAAGGAGGATCGGGTTGTTGATGTTTGTCTGCCATTCTCGCTCTGTCTGCACAATGTGCGTGAACGCGCTGATGGCGTATCTTGTCTGCGCGAACCGGGTGCGCAGAGGTATGCTAATACATACGTTGACAGGCAGGTAGGAAAGCCAGTTAAAACGCTCGGACCGAGCGTTTTGATTGGGCGAACATTTCTTGGTCCTACGCCTTCCACAGAATATATAAATACAGATAAATAAATTTAGACCACTTAACTTAATGATTGCTATCGGGATGTGAAGAGACTTTCAACCAGCATAACAAAAAAAAATTCTGAAGACAATCACCTATTGCACCTTTAAGTAAACAAATGCTACCATTCAAAAGTTTGGTGCTGGTGAGATTTTTTAAAATGTTTTTGAAAGAAGTACTTTGTTCACCAAGGCTGCATTTATTTATTCAGAAATGCAGTAAAATCTGTAATATTGTGAAATATTATTACAATTTAAAATAACTGTTTTCCTTTTGAATATATTTTAAAATGTAATTTATTCCTGTCAGAATATATAAATACAGATAAATAAAAGACCACTCAACTTAATGATTGCTATCGGGATGTGAAGAGACTTTCAACCAGCATAACAAAAAAAAATTCTGAAGACAATCACCTATTGCACCTTTAAGTAAACAAATGCTACCATTCAAAAGTTTGGTGCTGGTGAGATTTTTTAAAATGTTTTTGAAAGAAGTACTTTATGTTCACCAAGGCTGCATTTATTTATTCAGAAATGCAGTAAAATCTGTAATATTGTGAAATATTATTACAATTTAAAATAACTGTTTTCCTTTTGAATATATTTTAAAATGTAATTTATTCCTGTGATCAAAGCTGTATTTTCAGCATCATTACTCCAGTCTTCAGTGTCACATGATCTTTCAGAAATCATTCTAATATGCTGATTTGCTGCTCAAGAAACATTTCTGATTATTATCAATGTTGAAAACAGTTGTGCTGCTGAATATTTTTATGGAAACGGTGATGCATTTTATTCGTCAGGATTCTTTGATGAATAGGAAGAACAGCAATTATTCGTAATAACAACTTTTGTAGCATTATAAATGTCTTTACTTTTCTGCATTTTGCACAGTAATTTACTATTTGAAAGCATAAAACGCGCATTATGCAGTGACGAGGCTGTCGTTGGATTTTACTAGGTGGATTGACACACTTCTGTTAATCAGCTAATCACGCACAGTTATTGGCCAGTAATCTTGAAATGACCAGTTAATCTATGGTATTGCTAGTTTAAAGTAACCTGTTTAACTCGGATAGCCACGGGAAACTGAAGATTGTCTCTGCCATCTTGGCTCTATATGTCATCAAAAGTCTTTCTTTCTGTCTTTCTTCTCTTTATTCACACCTTTAACCGTTCACCTCTCTTCTTTCTCAATCTCATCCTGCACTCTCAGCTCCTGTCCTGTATAGATGTGTTATTTCCGCCCTTTGTCTTGAAAATCATTCATCAATATGCCACAGCGGAGCTGCTCTTCAAAGGTGAAGCGAATTACGCCGGAGGTCATGAGGCGCACGTTTCACTCATAAACTCAAGAGCTGCTTTGAATGGTATTTTGGTTGTGAAATAGCAGCACCGGCCATCAGCAAACCCAGCTTTCTGATCCGACTGACTGTATATGTGGCCTTCCAGTCACATGTGTCATGAGCTTACGATCCGCTAAGCTCCATTAGGAATTCTGTTAAGAACCTCAAAACCATTTTTCTTTTTATCGTAAAAACAGTAAATCTCTTAAGTCAGGTCACAACCTACAAAAAGGTAGAGTTGAAAGCTG